CTTAGATTTATCACATGAACAGTTTAAAAAGCAGGGAATATGTCTGTTGGTAGCACAAAATGACACCCAAAATTTCTAGCAAAAAAAAATTTCACATATAGTTGCCATCTTGTAGCTGGGGCAGAGGAGCGCCAAGCAATTCAGATGCCTCCAGCTGTTGAGATCTGTCTCCAGAGATAGCAAGGTAACCAGGACCTCAGTCTTATAGTTGCAAAGAATGATGCCAACAAAAAGGAAGAGCCTGGATAGATTTTCCTCCAGGACCTAGGCTAGGCAAAAACCTAGCCTCACTAATCCTCATGTTAGTCATAAGGGTACTCTGGCCATGCCAGACTTCTTTCCTAAAGAATGTAAGCCATGGGTGGTGTTTGAAACCACCAAGACTATGTGAATGTATTATGCGTCAGTAGAAGTCTATGAAAGCATAAAATTAAAAGTGATCACACTTAATCATCTTTCCTATAAACCCACTTAGAGATTTTATGCTTCTCACCTTTACAAACAAGTAGCCTATGGATTTAGGATCCTAATCACCAAATGAAAAGTGCTCAGCCACAGTAAGAATGTCACTGGATTCTGAGGTATCAAGAACCCATCCAAAAGTCCCAGTAGTCAATATCAGAAACCTGGCCAGGAACCCAGATTGTCTGTCTCTAGAATGCTGTGAGAAAAATGAAAAACAGAGACAAGTATTCCTTCAATGGCTGAAAGTCAGTATCCCTGGATCTGACTTCCTCCATACCTAAAGCAGCCACTGTTAGCTGTATACAGTGAAAGGTGGGACTGGCAAAGGATCACAATTCATTAAATACTCCAACTCTAGAGGGTGTAGATAATCTTGTTTACAATTATCTTGACACACATATAATCCTGTGAGGATTTAAGAAGATGTAGATGATCTTATGCTTAGAAGTAGCTTGTCCTTGAGTATAATCCTGAAATGATTTAAGAAGGTATAGATGACCCTTTGCTTAGAGGAGTCAATGGGAAATCTCAGGTGAGTTGTACCAATAATCCTAATCCTCACTTTTATTCCATAGGGAAATATGCAAATTTAGCCATTGTGAATTTGTGGTCCCCAACACTGAGGTACACATTTCATTGCACCACAAGCTTCATAGAGACCAGCACAGAGCAAGTATGCATGCTACCTTGATAGCAAAAGTTAACCTTCATCATCAGCAGATGTATTGCAATTCTGACCCTTTATGGTTGGGGGAGAAATGTGTTTGGAACCTGAATAATTTAATTAGCTATCAAATATGACTCCATTCTCTCAAATATAACTCTTTCTAAATGGCAAGTGAGGGTACCCCAGACAAATACCCTTGGAATTAGACTCCCTTTGGAGGCACATATGAGATGAACGAGGGGTCACAACCCTCAGGGATGAATGTTAGTGTTGAAAGCCAGGAAAATATAAGACTTTTCCTTATGGGTTATTCCACACTTTGGTAATCCTGTAGTGCCTAAATCTCAACACCAAGCAGCATTTTTAAGCTGTACGATTACTTGAAGCAGGAGAGTGCTTTAACATGGGTTATATTCATATGATTGAAGCAAAAATGCAAAGACACGTTTGGCTCTGTAACTTAAATTATTTTATTTTTTTTTATCGGTACTGGGGATCCAACTCACAACCGCCTGCTTGCAAGGCAGGTGCTTATACCACTGAGCTAAATACCCAGTCCCTTTAAATTAATTTTTAAACTAAATTTGAAGAATACAGCACAGTAAAGGGGTCTCATATGATATTGCAATTCTATGTGTATGTAATACATTTTTTTCTCGTTAAAGAGACCTACTTCCTCAAACGTTGAACATTTTATGGTAGAAATATTTGTAGTTCTAAAGCTTGGGAAAATAAAATTTCACTATCTGGAGTCACCATACTCTCCCGCGACACACTAGAATATTTACTCCTAGTCACATATAACTTAGCATCCACTGAACAAGGTCTTCTCGTTTTTCTGTAGAGTCTTGTGACCACCATTTTACTCTCAGTTTCTTTGAGGACAGCATTTCTGGTATTCACAGGTGAGCAAGATCATCTGTACTTGTCTCTCTGTGCCTAAATTATTTTGCTTAACGCTGTGTCTTCTGGTTTCATCCATGTTGTAACAAATGACAAGAATTTTTGTTTCACAGTTGAATGGTACTTCTTTGTATATATGCACTGTTTTCTTCATGCACTCATCAGGAGATGGATCCTAAGGTCATTTCAGTTTCTTAGCTATTGTAAAAAGTGCTGCGATAACATGGGGATGCCAATGTCTTTTCAACATCTTGATTTTGTTGTCTTGGAATACATATCTCCAATGGATTGCTGGGTCACATGTTATTTCTATTTTTGTGTTTTGGAGGAAGCTTATTAATTCTTTCTACAATGTCTGTAGTAATTGGCCTTGCTACCAAGAGTGCTCAAATGTTTCATTTTTTCATCTCCTCTCCAACAGTTATTGATTTTTTGATAACCGTTATTATTATTATAGTGAAGTAAGCTCTTAGGTACCGTGTCCATTTTGTAAAGCACAATAGCTAAGATTAATCGTAAATAATCTATATATATTTATCATATACCTTAATAAAAGAAATGGAAAATAACATTTGGTAGATGTGTTCCATATTAAGATAAAGCCTATTAGTTAGATTGTCTTTCTATTCATTCCTTTAAGAAACTCAAATATGAGGACATATTAAATGAGATATTTCAGTGTTTCTTACAACATTTGCAATTAGAAACAATGAAATGTTTGTAAAAAGAAATGATTGCATGCTGAAGATACAAGTCGGTGGCACAAGTGCTTGCCTGACAAGAGCGAGGTCCTGAGTTTGATTTCTAGTATGAAAGAAAGACAAAGAAAGAAAGAAAGAAGAAAAGAAAAGTGCCAACATATGTTCCTTTGCTCTAATCAAGGTGTCTACTAGATTCTTTCCAGAAATGGCTGCATAAGCCAAAATGGGTCACATCATGAGAATGGACTTCTCCTTGTACAGAAATAGAACTCTGACAAAATTTTTAAGCCTCAGATGCTGTCAGAGGAAAATCATTTGGGTTACTAGTTGCTCTTACTTTGAAAGTAAAAAAAAAAAAAAAAAAATTCTCTTGAGACTCAGAAATGCAAACTTAACATTACAGGGCTGAAATTTCTCACTAAGATGACCTCTGTGAGAAGCCAGTCCCTATGACTCAGAAAGGGGCTTGTGAAGAACAGTAATTATATACACTGCTGTATTTTCCCTGCAATAATGAAAGTCATTTTTTTTTCCTTTCCACACTTGTAGAATTTCTCATATGACCTTGTAGATTTAGAGGAATGGTGTGATTTCTAATTTTGCTTTTCTATAAGAATGCTTTTAAATATTTTCATTTAATTATTATGTAATTCCACAAATTTGAGATGCTGTCTGAGTATAAAACAGGCAGACCAGACTGAAACTAGACCCATGTGTGTCACCATACACTAAACTAGAGTCAAAATAGATGAAAGATCTAAATATTAAAACAGAAACAATAAATCTACTGAAAGACAAGGTAGGTAGAAATCTTGGAGACATAGGTCAGGCAAAGAATTCATAAACAAAATGCAAACTTCACAGGAAGTACTTCAAAGTATCAACAACTAAGATCTCATCTTATTAAAAAGTTTTTGCACTTTAAGATAAACCACCAATAAAGTGAAAATAAAACTCACAGAATGGGAAAGAATTTTGGCCATCAGTCCCTTAGACAAAGAACTTATATCCACAACATAAAAAGAATTGAAAAACATCAAGCTCCCTAAATCCAAAGACCCTCTCCAAAAATCAGCATCAGAGATTAGCACACATTTCTCAGATGAAGAAATAAAAATGGTGAATAAATGCATGAAGAAATGTTTACCATTGATGGTCATTTGAGAAATGCAATTTAAAACAGCATTTAGATTTCATCTCCCTCCAGAAAGAATGGTTGCCATCAAGAAATCAACTGATAACAAATGTTGGCAAGGTTGTGGGGAAAAAGACTTCCCCACTGTTGGTGGGAGTGTAGACTGCTGTGGCCACAGTGGAAAACAGTATGGAGATTCCTCAAAAAGCTAGGATTGGAAATCTCATTCAATCCACCTATTCCCCTCCTGGACATTTTCCCATAAAAATTGAAAAAGTCATGTCACAGCGATGTATGTGCATCCATGTGTGTAGCAGCACAATTTGTAATTGCTAAATTTTGGAAACAACCAAAATACCCATCAACCACAGGATGGATGAGAACAATGTGGTATTGTTATACAATGGAATATTACTCAGCTATAAAAAGTATTTTCTAGAGGCTTTTATAGGTAAATGGAGGCAACTTGAGACTATCCTCATAAGTGACATAAATCAGATTCACATTTGTAAATACTGTATTGTCTCTCTAGTATAAAAATAACTAATAATAATAAAAAACTGAAAGAGTAATAAGATCCAAAGTGTATAATAGATAGTGTAATAATGAAAGGGAAACAAAGGAAAGAACAATTTGTTATATATACACACATATATATATATATATAACTGTATGTATGTTTAAGTGTGCAAGATAGATAACCATACTACTAATTTGTTAGTCCATCAAACTCAGTAGTTTGTGCTGTCATTGTCTGATGGTCTGTTTATTTTTTATGCTGCAATTTTGTACCTGAAAAACTACTGCTAAGATAACAACATGTAATATATCAACTAGTGATGATTTCTTAATGGTATTTTTTTGAAATTCTGTATCATTTTTACCCTTTTATCTGCTTTGCTTTTTTAAAATTAAAATAAAAACAGGAAGGGCAACACTCAGTTTTGTAATAGTACTATTATAAAATGGAATATTCCGTTTGCCTTCCTTTAGCACCTCACTGCCACTACTACTGAATGAATCACACTCAGTTTGCACATTTAGGAGAAAAGTTTATGTCTGGTACAGTTCATGAGAAGAAGAACCTTATTTAATGAGAAGTTGACAGTTCTCAGAGAAAGACTGGCAAACAGCATGGGCCCATGTCAACAAGGCCAATAAAATGGAGGGAGAAGGTAGGAATTTCAGCAATTCCAGATCTACAAGGTGGCAGTATTTAACCCCTTGAGGACCTGGAGCCCAGCACAAAAGGAGCAATCCGGGTGCAGTGGCATTAGGTTATCCCTTTAAGAAAAATCACTTTCTCCCACTTTCCAAGACAGCAGCACATAACTGCAAGTATAACCGCAGGTGGGTTCCCTCCACAACAAATTGAGCAAGTGGCTCTGGGAGAAGCCCTGGCCAGGCTGCCTCTCAGAGCTGGGTCCCCGCAGTGGGCCGTCTACAGTCTACACCGGAAGGAGGGAGTATGGTCTTAAATTCAATGCAAAATGCCATGCAGAGCAGCGGAGTTCTCCTTGGACAGTCTTCTTGCGGCACCTTCCCGTTCTCCTTCTTCTCCATCTCCCATTCCCTTCTTAGCACTTTTGCTTTGTCTGTCCTCTCCCTGAAAGTTAAAGAAATATTATGTGGATTTGCCAAGAAGATAAATTGAAGTTTGTTAATGAAACAAAGTAAATGGATATTGAGAAATGAGGCTTGTGAGGAACAGAATGAAGAAGGAGGAACTGATAGGGCTTATTAATATGCAGACCTTGAGATCTGGAATCAGTGGGACAATTTTGAGCAAAATAATAATATAATGAAAGCAATGGTAGAGGACTATTTTTTTTTTAACCAGAGAGTGAACTAGACCAAACTGAGTCTTAAAAAGCTCATTTCAGTGTCCCACATATAGGTGAGTTGTATAAAGACTTTTCAGGAGAAGGAAGAATAACTGAATTACACTTGACAAAATGGTCTTGAACCAACCCAATCTAGATACAGTAGTTCTGAACCAGATGGGATGCTACTCAGAAAAGTGTGGGTCTGTAGAATGTGGCAAAGAATGAAAATTGAATGGAATCACTAAATTCTGGTAGTTGCCCTTTTCTAAATACTCTGTTGCTAGAATTTAGTTAATTTAAAGCAATCTATAAACATCTTGAACATACATAGAAAAAAGTCTGAATGTTTCTGAAGTCCAGAGGGATGTGTTTGTCAAGTACGGGAATAGAACATTTCAACTTGAGGACACTGTGTATGACCTGGAAGTGATTTACTTCCACTGATCACCAAAACTCTGAACAAGATTGACAGTTTAAAGGATAAAGGAGAAATTTACTACAGGTAGCCTCCACTTTCAATTATGATTTCTTCCCTCAATGCAAAATGAAATTACTAAAATGAACATTTTAGGTCTTGTAAGTATATATCAACACATATAAAACTTAAAAATTATAACACAATACAGTACTCAATTTTGGCAGTGTGCTTCCAGAATTTTGTACACATTCTTCAAATTTTTCCCTTATAATTGAGCACACAATTAAGTGAGTACTAACTGAAGTAAAAAATTCAGTATTTTTTACAAAGCCAATTATTTCAATCTTTGTCTCAATCGCTGAAATGTATGAGACCTGTGCACATTATTTTTTTACTTATCATCCCATTTTTTTTTCCTAAATGAATAAGGATAAGTGCCATAAAACCTTCAAGTAATAAGTGAAAAATTGACAGCTCTGACAAAACAAAACTATCAGCTGTCAGGCATTGCCAATGTAACTCAAGAGTCGTGTTTGTTAGACAAATGTATGAAGTTTAAACTGAGAACTTCTTAAAATAGGTTCCATGTATCAATGTGCAATAAAGTAAGACTTTATGAAAAGTGAACTGATAAAATGAAAATCCAGCTATAGTTTTTAAAGCCAACATTCCAATGAAGAATATAATGTCTCCATACAAGGTGATGGGATCAGCTTAGAGAGCAGTCTGAAAAATAACCAAGAAAACAAAGTGATTAGAAATACAATGTGTTCAACATAGAAATATAGTGATTATGGTCATTTTTGACTTATTGATCATTTATATATATTTATATATACACACACACATATATATATATGTGTGTGTGTGTATATATATATATATATATATATATATATATATGTATATTGTCTTAAAGTAACAGCAAAAGTATTGAAAAGATGTTCACTGGGTATTAACCATAGCCATAAACAAGAACTGGTTTATGATATGACAGAGGTGAGAATCCAACGTGACTGACAAGAATAGAGGAGGAGCCTCACTGGAGCTACTCAGAAAAAATCATTGAAAACACAAGTAATTGAAAGAAAGGGAGGGACATATATTCTGACATCAAAATCAATCTGAAATAGGAGACTTGTAGATCAAACAAAACCAAGACATAGGACTTTATAAAATGGTGAAGCACCCCACAGGGCTGCCTGTGTGACAGCCAGTGCAGGTTGAGCAGAACTGCTATTCTGGAAAGATCCCCAAAAAACTGATGCCAAGCTACTGATGGCAACAGTGTGGCAAATTAAAGATGCACAGGACAGATTTCTCATATGAAGCCCCTCCTCTCTTTTGCCTTCCTTCAAAAATACAGTGCTGCATCCTAGCAGCAAATGCTTCCAGCACACATGGGGCAAATGTCTCCCTCACAGATGACCAATTGGTTTTCCCTTCTTTTGTATGGTTATGTCCTAAAGCTCCTAACTGTAGCCTCTAGAAATAATGAGATTAGGGAGCTCAGCAGTGGTGGTGGTGGTGGTGGTGGTGATGATGATGATCAGGAAAAGAATCAATTGAAACCAGGCAATCAATACACAGGATTAATGAATCCAATAGTTGGTTCATCGAAAGATTAAATAAAATTGATGGGCCTCTTAGCTAACCTTATCAAAATAAGGAAAGAAAAATCTCAAATCCATACAATTAGGAATGAAAAGGGCAAAATCACAACAGATTCTACAGAAATCCAGGAAATCATCAATACCTACATCCAGAACCTTTATTCTAATAAGATACAAATAAAGAAGAAATGGACAGAGTCTTAGATATGAATGAATTACCCTGAGTCAAGAAGATAAAAATTCTAAATACCCCAATATCAGTCAGTAAAATTGAACATGTAATTAAAAATCTACCAACAAAGAAAAGTCCAGGTCTTGTTGGGCTTTTGTAGTTCTCTTTTGCTAACTGTAACCTCCAGAAACAACAAGGTTAGGGGCCTCAATAGTGGTCATGAAGATTAGCAAAGAAAGCAATTGAGAGTAAGATAAGAAAATATAAAGTAGCAAAAGCAATTCCATAAAACTACTGAATGCTACAAGAAATTTAGAGAAGATCTAATACCACTACTTCTCAAATTCTTCAGTGAAATGCAAGAGAAATAGTACTCCCAAAATCACTCCTGGAAGCAAATATTAACCTAATAATAAGATCAGAGACAGATTCAACAAAAAAATAAAAATACAGGCCAGTCTCCTAATGAACATAGATTCAAAAATTGTCAAGAATATACTAGCAAACAGAATACAGCAAATCATCAAGATTATACATTATGACCAAGTAGGAGTCATCCAAAGGATTGAAGGAGAGTTAAATACACACAAATAAATAAATATAATACATCATAGCAATAGAGACAAACACAAAAATCGCCTGATCATCTCAATTGATGCAGAAAAAGCACTGACGAAGTCCAGCACTCATTTATGATAAAACCATGCAGAAAATTGGCAAGGAACATCTTTATATGAATATGATTAAAGTCATCTATGACAACCCTACAGCCTACAGCATACTAAACAATCAAAAACTAAAAGCTTTCACTGTAAAATCAGTAGCAAGACAAGAGTATCTACTATCACTGCTCTTATTCAATATATTTTTGGAAACATTGGCCAGAGCAATTAGACAAGAGAAAGAAATAAAGGGAAAAAATAGAAAAAGAAGTTAAATTATGGTTCTTTGCAGATAACACAGCACTCCACATAGAAGATTCCAAAAACTCCAGTGAAAGAATTCTAGATTTAATATCTAAGTTTGCTATATTGCATATGGTCAACCTCCCAAGAGATGCTCAGATGTCTGGCTTCCATTTGCTAATGGGGTACAAAACCACCACCTAAAAATCAATAACATTCCTGTATACACAGGATAAGAGAAACCACACCTTTCTGCACCCCCCAAAAATGAAATACTTAGAATTCCCTCTAACAAAAGAAGGAAAAGATCTTTACATGGAAAAGTATAGTATTCTGAAAAAGGAGATTGCAGAGGACATCAGCAAACAGAGATATAACCCTTGTTCTTGGAAAAGCCAGCATAGTGAAAATGAGCATATTTTCAATATCGTTATACAGATAAAATGCAATTCCAATCAAAACACCAACAGCATACCTCAAATAATTAAAGAAATCAAACTTAAAATTTATTTGGAACCAGCAGAAGCCTATAGTAACAAAACAAATTCTGGGAAACAAAGACAACACAGGAGGTATCAACATCCCTAACTTTAAAATATATTAAAAAGCTACTCTGATAAAAACATTATGGTACTGGAAAATAAAACCAGAAAAAGCAAAAAAAAAAAAAAGACCTGAGGATAATGGAACAAATTAGAAGATGCAGAAACAACTCCAAATGCACTCAGACCTCTTATCTGTGTCACAGAGTCCAGGGTCTTTCAATGGAAGAAAGACCCTTTAATAAATGGTGCTAGACAGGTACTGGAAAACCAAGCAACCAGCTCGCCCCCTTGGTAGGTGGCCATGAGCCTACTGGCACGTGGGCTGAGACTCAAACACCACATCTCCCCTCTCCATTAGCAAATGGGAGCCAGAGATCTGAGCATCTCTTGGAAGGCTGCCCATATGCAATATAGCAAATAAGGGGGATTTCTTTCTACCATCTCTTTGAAGGCAAATAATTTTATCACTATTTTGCTTTGTTCTTATTGCTCTACTGCTCTATTCAATATTCTGTTTTGATAAGTTCTATAATGTTCTGTAGTCTGATTTTGCTATACCTGATTGAAAGAACAACTTGTATGAAGATAACAAGATTACTATGGCACCTGTTACTGTTATCCTGGTAACGTGCCATGAAGTTCTGTACCAGTTTCACTACACTGTGTCAATTGGCTTTGTTCCATCTTGTTCTGTTGTATTGCACTACCTTCAAAATAATAAAACATTTTTTAAATGGTGCTAGACAAACCCTACATTCCAAAGACTAAAATTAGACTCACATCTATCACCATATGCTGAACTGAAATAAAATGGATTAAAATCTAAATATTAAAACAGAAACACTAAGTCTGCTAGAAGAGGGAATAGGTGTAACTCTTGAACACATGTAGGCAAAAACTTTGTGGAACAAAACCCTGATCACACAGAAAATATTACAAAGAATCAACAACAAGGAACACATCTTATTAATAGCTCTTGCACAGCAAAAAAACTAATCATCAACAGATTGAAGAGACAGCCCTTAGAGTAGGAAAAGTTTTTGTCAGCTGTTCCTCGGACAAAGCTCTAACTTCTAGAATATATCAAACACTCAAAAAAGCATACCTCAAAATTTAAAGACCCAATTCAAAAATAGGTATCTGAAATGAATAGATACTAATCAGATGAAGAAGTAGAAATGACAAATATATATACGAAAAAATTTTCAACATCATTGGTCATTCAGGAAACACAAATTAAAGCAACACTGAGATTTCATCTTACCCCAGAAAAATGGCACTTATCAAGAAATCAACCAATAACAAATGTTGGTGAAGCTGTAGGGGAAAAGGAGCCATTCTCCACTATTGTTGGGAGTGTAGACTGGTGCAACCAATGTGGAAATCAGTATGGTGATGCCTCAAAAAACTGAAACTAGAGTTTACATTTGACCCAGCACTCGACATTTTCCTAAAAAATTAAAAACATCATACCAGAGTTATACGGACATACTCACTTTATAGTAACACAATTGCTAATAACTAAATCTTGGAAGCAGTTCACATACCCATCAATTAATGAATGGATAAGTTGGAAACAAAGCTTTTTATAAATAGGGAAAGTGCATTTGAAGGGAGATGAGGGAAATGGGAAACGAAAGAGTTAATATATATCATGTGCAAATTCCCTGTGATGAACGTGATCATTCAGTATCTAAAATGTACCAACCTAGGGAAGTAGTAGGATGTTTTACAATGTTGACTATACCATCTGGAAAAATCTTACAAAATTGCAAAGGCCTTGTCAGATATGTGTAATAGACATTAAAATGCAAAGTTTCATGATAAGCAGGTCAAATCGATGTTAGAAGTGCACTTCGTAGCCCACTTCTACACTTTTATTTTCCTTTTACATAATGAAATAATTCTATTTTAAATCACAAACCTTAAACTAATGAGTTCTTACCACATTAACATGACTCAAACACACATTTGTCATTCAGTCTTTAGTCTACTCTTTCCTATTAGTTAAATATATTGATAGCATATGAATATTAAATAAAGAATAACAAGATGGAATTCCATCTCTGCAACTTGTAAGCTATGTAGCCCTGGGCTAGAGAGTTAATTTTGCTCTATTTTTTTTTCTTTCCCTGGAAATGGGATCTCTATATGTCAAAATGTTTCATGAAGATTAATATAATTATATATATATATATATATATATATATATATATATATAACAATTAAGATGATATATTGTACAAGATATATATTCATTTATGGATTAATTATGTGTTTATTAAGAGCTGACCATAATTCAAATACAGTAGACTATCTTATCTGTGGTTTTACCTTTCATACTTAGTAAATTTAGACTGGGTACTGTTCTGATGAGACGCCATGCCATTCCACTTTATCCCAGCTAGGACATGAACCAGCCCTTTGCCTAGTGTAACTACGTCACATGTACTGCACACCTCTTCTCATTTAGCACCCAACTCAATCATCAGATCAATTGTCATAGAGTCACAGTGCTTATATTCAAATAACCTGTAGCTTAATGAGGACCTCAGAGTTAAAAAGCAGTGTTGCTGGAGATAGGATATGCCATAAGGAGTTAAGAAGCATTCCTTTGTGTGAAAATATGAACATTCTCAACTTAATAAGAAAATAAAAATATTCTGCTGACGTTATTAGGAAATATGGTAGGACTGAATCTTCTATTTATGAACTTGGGAAGGAAAAGAAGTTTGCATTTGTTTTGCTGTCACACTGCTTGATAAGATACAGAAATTGGAATTACTCATGGTTTCAAAGATTTGGGGAAGGTTGAAGTAGAGGGGCCAACGTGAAGACAAAACGGCCAATATCCATATTTGGTGGATTTTAAAAGAAGGATTCTTCAGTAAACGAGTGGAAAAAGTGACAGCAGCTAAAGACATAGCAGTCAATGAGAGCCATATTAGGTATATACTTTGAGGTGGAAATTATGAAAAGAAAACAGTGTCGTGTTTAGAGCAAGGGTACCATGATCTTATTTATTTTTTTAAATATTAGTAGAAACAGAGAGGACTGAATCTGCACTGCTTGGAATGAGACCAAAAAAGAAACCCCAGATTTTCACTGATAAAGAAAATGATGGCTTGATTCCCAGGATGAGAGACATGAGGAAAGAGGAACAGATCTATCTGATTCATAGGATTTTTAAATTACCTGGTAGAGCACCCTAAATGAAGCTCCCTCAGAAAGAATCACTATCAGGTTATAAAATCTATAAATTCTGGCCAGAGAACCACATGCTATAAGCCAGTTTTATATCACATAGCTACTTTAATTAAATTTATGAGCCCTCTTTATTTCTTAACGCTAAATATTATCTAATCACCAAATCCTCCTGAATCTACTGTGGGTGAATCTTATGAATGCATAATATGCTTGACTCTTTCACATCGACTTTTCCTGGTCTCCTCCATGAAGATGATAAAATTGGACTCTGGCATATAGCTCAATGGTAACATACTTGCTTACCATGAAGGAAGTTCTGAGATGAGAAAATCAAAAAATTATAAAATCACCTGAAAAACATGAAACTAATGACTTAAACCAGCTAAATATTCTATTTGCTCCTACAACCCTTTGGATGTGTGTACCTGACTTCCTTGCTGGTTATTACCCTCTGTAGGTCTGTAGCAGTAATCTGTAGAGCTAAACACAAAGTGTATGGAGAGAATGAATGCAATGAATTTAATATCCAAGACAGATAATTAGATCAAGAATTAGGTCATTGTGGGAAGAGAGCATAGCATAAATAGAAAAGCATATACCCTGAAGCAATACTGTTTTTAAGGGCATAATAAATACTTTTTCTCATAGACATTCAGTTATAGAATTGGATATTTCATGTCCTATCACAGTCAATAAGGCCAGATGAGTCAGTGATTTCTCTGATTAGTTCACATCAGAATCCACTTCACTAATCCATTTCTATTTGTGATTCTCAATAATCAACCATTTCAGAAAAGAAGCCCTCTCTGATCTCCCACTTCATGACCTAGATAATCATTAGATATTCCTCAGATCGTCATTACCTCACATTTAGCTTAATAATATAATTTTCAAATTGGTCTTTCTGCCTAGGTTGAAATGAAATTAAACCTAAATATATATATATGGAGTAGTGACCTTCTCACTTACATTCACACAGATGCACGTAGCTCTTACAGTTTCTTTTCTGGAAGTCAAGAAAAGTTCAGTGATGACCTGGCCTCGCACAGCTACAAATGTTAAAGCAGAAATTATAACCAAGGAAATCTCTTTGACAACATAATACTTTCTACATCACATCCAACCAATATATTATTCCGTTTTCAGATTTATCTTCTCCAAATGCTAATTTCAACCCATATAATGTCAGTGGCTCCCCTTTGTCTGAAAATAAAGTCCACATTTCCTATCATTTGAGGGTATCAGTTTTCTGTCCTTAACCTACCTCCCATAATTGCCCCTGTATCTCAACACAAATCTCCATATCTGTCCCCACAGTGTCCTTTTCATTTGCACACATTCCACATGGTGTCTTCCATAAACATTTGCTTATAATGCTTAAATTTCCATCTCTCCTCTGTGGGAAGCCCGGTAATTGGCTACCACCTTAACTCCCTTCTAGGAGTTAAGTTTGGTAGTTAAGCAGCACCTTGCCTACCTACCTTGTTTGGCCTATTCAGAAATTATGTTAACCAGCATGCCTTATGAGCCTGCGCGCGGGAAATTTGAACTGACTGATAAAACCTCGGTGTTGCCACTGTTGCTAAGTTACCTGCTGACGTCTCAGAACCCAAATCCCTCCTCCTCAGTACCCTATAGATTTGTTACTCCTTCTGTGAATAAATGAGACTTGATTGGAATTCCTCAACTTGTCTCTGCTCTTTGTGTCTCTTGTTTCCTTTTCATCCCCACTCCCCCTCTAGGGTCTCCATGGATTTACCTGCAGGCCAGGTCACTCCTCAAATATATCCATTTCACAAGGATATATTTGGATATGAGGATCCCTTCCTTTCCTGCAAGACAACTTTTACTTCCCCAATCACAAGTTAGCTGTAAGTGAACTCTTGTTTGTATCATGCATTTGTAAAAAGCTGTGTTGTACCTTGCTAAATAAATTATTTGGAGTGACTAAGTTGTCACTTCCAAATTATTTCCAAAATGCTTACGGGGGGGAAAACTAACAACCATATCTTGAGTTTCTCTGCTTTCTTTTAGCACATGGCACAGTGCTAATCATGTACTAATCATTCATTAAATCCCTATTAAATGCGTTAAATATACTTTCGAGGATCTTATGAAACAGGAATATATTTTCATATATTTCATAGCAAGAATATATCTTCAACTTTGTAGCTTTCATTTGTGACACTGATTCTCCACTATAATATATGACAACATATTGCCTTTGCTAAGAAAAACAGCTATAACTATTTAATAAACAATTTTAAAGCAAAACCATTGCTACTGTGTTTCTTTTGTTTTGTTTTGGTTTGGGTTTTTTTTGTTTTGTTTTGTTTTGTTTTGTTTTACAATTCAAAGCAAACTAATATCTCAAACTGCCTTGCACTCCTAGAAATATCTGGACACTAAAATTCCCATTGAGAAGTCATTTTCTAACACAGTAATACTTTTAAAGAAGCATATATGAAATTTAAATTACTCTTTGGAAGCTGTGAACAACCTTGCCTCATTTAATTTAATATTAGAATTTATAGATATTAATAATATACAGGTTCATCATATGTGGTTAAATAAAATGTCTCCAGTTTTCTATTAAACATGGGTACCACGAGCTTATTTAACACTGGATCACAACTGCCTGAATTTCAAAAGGATATTAAACTTGTATAATTTCACCTTGTTTGCCTTTCCTGCAAACATAATCTGTCACAATTCTGTAAGTAATTATTGAGAATGTCATAAATCTTAAGGTCTTTTAGGAAATAATAGTGATTATTTATTCCCAGTCAAGATTTAAGAAATAAGCTAATTCAATATGAATCAACCTCCTCCAAACATTCAGTTAGAGACCAGTAACATAGGCTAGCACAGCCCTAATGATGTCCTATTATCATTATCCTTACAATTTTCTGATTGGCTAAGCAGAACTAAAGTCATTACAACCCTTATGAAATATTTGCTACCTTTTTAACCCCTTCAGGAGCTTACTTCAAGAAGTCCTATGAGTCCATAGTGTCACTAGGAATCCTGCAATACTGTTGAAAATTTAGGAAAAAAAAAAAAAAAACAGAAATACATTACAGAAAATATCTTGAAAGCAGAGAAAAATCACTGAGTGAAATTCTTTGAGAATTTGAATAATACAGCCAATAGGATCAGAGAAACAAATATGAAATCATTTTCTTTTTTCACGTTTGTTCATTATTTTCTTCTTATATAGCCACTATCCTCATTAACTAATAAAGCTCATTTGCTATCAGCTATGCTTTTACTCATTTGTCCTCCTCTCCTGCTAATTTTCAATTGCTTTTTCTTTTTCTACCCAATGAAAATTCTAGTAATCCTGTTGGGTTGACGTAAGAGTCAAATGTACTGATAAGTAACAGATTCAAGGCACTTAAGAAAACTTTAGAATTCATCAGAGCTGTAAGATGCTCTTATTACTCCTCTTTCAAATAGTAACCTTTTTCTAATCTAGAAGAACAATTTGTGTGTTACAAGTATGAGATTTCCTGGGAATCCAGAGAATTACAGGAAAAAATGACTACATTAGAGTAGCTGCTGACGTGCAGCAATAGTGGCAGATGATGGATTGAACACACCCACAGATCAGGAGAATGTTCAAACTGTCATTAAACTGCAGTGACTCAGCAGGCTGGCTACCATGGCTGGAACCTTCCGAGACCTTGTTACACTTTCCTAAGTCCCACTCCATCTGACCTACTTCTCTTGGATATTCTGCAAGGGCCTCTTTCGGACTCCGGTTTCTTCGAATTGCATACCTTTGTCTTCTCTGAGTGAACTCTTTCCTCCAAGCCACATTTCTGAGCTTATCTTGGATAAATAGATGCCTCCACCCAAGACATCTGATTTCTCTTGGGGAAGAAAGAAGCTCTTATTTACTCACCACTAAGTTTTTCTAAAAAGACCTCAGTGTGGTTGTGTGAAAGAGGTCGCTGATTGACATAACAAGGGTAAGACTCACTGTGGAAGTACAAATGCATGTATCCTGGAAAATGCAGTGCACAAATACTAAGATATATAGCATAAACTGAAATCACCCATCATCTGCTCCGAAATGTTTACCAGGTTAATGTCACAGATGGATAATTACAGAAGCAGAAAAAATAATCTGCTTGGTAACTCCTAGTGTCTGAGGCCAACTCTTAACATTTGCCCTACAGTACCATTTTTGATGGATGCTATTCATTCAACCTACATGCTTCTGTTATAATGCCAGTGTTCAAAGATGACTATCTGTGGTTATTCTTGTCAGTTCTGGAAAGGAGCATAAAATGAGCACTCTGATGTGCAGATAACAAATGCAAATTTATAAGTTTCCAAAGACTTAAACTGACCAAGTTGTAAGAGGTGGTGAATGTCACAAAACTGTAAAAATGTTCTTTTCTTTTCATAGGTAGAATTTATGGATACTAAGCCAAGAGGTAAAGGGAATAGATTTAACTGTTTTAAGGCAACTATAGGTATTTCTAAACCATATTATTTAAGAACAGAGTTTTACTCAGGTGAAAATTAAATTTGATGAAAATTGAATACTAGAATCAAAGATTGTCACAGTGCATGCTTAACAAGCATGAGGTTAAGGAGTTCGATTCCCTGTTCCCCACCCCCCAAAAAAAAGATTTAAAAAAAGATCGAATATTTGTAATGGCTCATTTCTTCTATAGTTTTAATAACGGGACACATTGTAATGATGCCCTGAGTTTTCCTACATATAAATGACTTGAATATCATGCTGATTTTGTAAAAGAAAAATAATTCATTAAAACTCAAATTTTCTTTTCATTGAAAATAGATTTACCACACTCATGCAGATCTCATTTTGCAAATTTTGTGTCATTTACTCTGATTTCATAAATTTGCTCTTCTAGATAAGACCTTGACATGTTAATTATTTTTTCCTACCTCTGTGTTTGCAATTTCAACAAATATCAGCAGGTGTTAGTGAACCCCAAAAGCTCGGGCAGGTCAGAACAAGAGTAAGTATCTTTAAATACACAGAGAACCAAGATTTTTTTTTTGAGAATCAAAATTTTAAAAGTAATGTATGATCCTAATGTATGATGCTAAAAAAGAAAGCCCTTTAAATAACAGCAACACATTTCCTTGTTCCCTGTACTTGCCCATATAAATAGAAACTATATGAAATAAGATAGAAGACATATGTTATTTCTTGAATTTCCTTCAAATTCACTTGTTTTGACATTAAGTAAAATTTAGTTTCCTCCAATTTTCTCTTAAGGATAAACATTTACTTATATCACTCATGCTTTATAATCAAAAGCTGCCTTTATCTCATAGCTGTTATAAATGCCATTTTGTAACTCTAGAAGTCTAACAATAACTTTGCTACTCTACACCAAAATGTACCAATATTGTCATGTGGTTTCTCTTTGATCTTTCCTATTCTTGTAAAATTGAAAATAAAAATTTCTATGTAATTTTCAAAAAACTAGACAAAATTATCAAATTCATTTACCACCACAAGCATAACAAAATGCATTCTCTTTTAAAGGATTAAATTCCTAGTAAATAAACGTGCTCTCAATAGCTTATATAAATCACTCAACAATGATTGATGAACAGCAAATTCATTCTATACTACTAACTCAGAAACAGAGAACCTGAGGACATCCAAAAGGCACCTGCAGTGTTAAGGAATATCCAAATTTGAGTTGAGAAATACTGCTTTGCAGTTTAAACCATGACATTAGATAATTCCTGGGGGACAAAGTGATCCCAGACCCCATCGCCAAAGACACTAAAGAGCTACAGTGTAGACTGGCTCTCCATGATCAGGATTATCAAGAGCCTACTTTTCACTTTTTTAAATGAAGTAAGTACAGTGCATACTGGAACAACCCAGACACAAAGAAATACAATGGAAACAGTTTCTCAGGAAGAGTCTCGTGACCTTACCTGGAAAGTCTCTGTTACAGATTAAGACCTTGATTTCTCCTCTATTAACATGGTAGCTTCTACCTGATTTGGCCTCTGGTTCCTGTAGATAAATACGCTCTCTGGGTTTAACCTCCAACTTCCTGATCTCTATTCATCTGAATATTATTTGCTCAACAACTCACTACATATTCAATCTATTTAACTTCCTCTCTGTTTTTAAACATTTGAACGTATAAAATGTACTTACAATAGTTGTTTTAATGTCTTGTCTCTGTTAATTGAAGCATTTACTTCTTTTCTAACATTTGAGTCAGCTCCGGTTGGTTCTTCCCTTCCTCATAGACCATGTTTCCATGCTTCTGGCTTGGGTACTCAAATCTGATTTATTTTCAGAGTCTGTGCATTTCCCCTTGTTAGGTGCTAGATTTTTTTTTTATTCTAGTACATATTCTTTAACATCTGGAACATGCTGACATTATTTGGAAATAGTTTGATCATTTTAGATCTTGTTTTTAAAGGAAAAAGTGGCATGCAATCAAGGACAAAAATGCCTAATTATCAAGGTGAGAAAATTCTGAGGACTCTATATAGCACCTTGTGATTCAAACTTTTCTGTTTTTGGTCAGTGGTGACAACCACTGTACTTTA